AAGTGCAGGTGGGATACATTTACGTGCTTCCTGGCATATACATATATATATAATGAAGTCAGCAATGGAATGTGTGTGTGTAAGGAGGTCTTAACATCCATACATATATGTCTCTGCATGCATACATGCATACACACAATTCATGCATCTATACATACACAGATATACACACATATACATATATGCACATATACACACAAACACATACACACACACACAAAGACATCCACACACACAAACACGTGCACACCTTTACAAGATACCAACAAATGCACACATACACATAGACACATCATACACACACACACAGACACACGCAAACACACACACACACACCACACACACACACACACACACACACACACACACACACACACACACACACACACACACACACACACACACACACCCCCACACACACACACACGCGGACACACCCCCTTTGTACAGATACACGCACAAACACAGATAAACTCACCTACCCACATACATACCCTCATACATGCATACATGCATAGATACGTACATACATACATACATACATACTTACATACATACATACGTACATACATACAGGCATGCATATATAGATGCATACAGTGCGTATACATACACTACATATGCATATATATATATATACATATATGCACCCACCCACCCATGCATGCGTGCATGCATGCATGCGTGCATGCATGCATCCATGCATCCATGCATCCATGCATCCATGCATCCATGCATCCATGCATCCATGCATCCATCCATCCATCCATCCATCCCTGCATCCATACGTACATACATGCATGCGTACATACGTGCTTCCATGCACACACACATGCGCATACACACCTACTGTACATACACACATACATGCATGCGTGCATGCATGCATACATTCATACAGACATACATTCATGCGTGCATGAATACATACACCCAGTAAATCCGCGTAGACCCATGGAAAGCTAACCACGGACGTTCATTGGAGCCCTCCCTAGGGCGTGTACAGCAACACACTAGCTGGCCAACTTGGTCAGATTTGTTGTCGCATTTCGTGCGGTTGGTGCGGCATCGTCCCTTTTCACCTGGTTCGCACTGATACAAAGGTTTGTCTGGAAATTGCCCGCTCCGGATATGCTCTCTCGCCAGGAAAGCTCGAGCCAAACCAAGAGGGACACGTTTATCCCGTGGTTTTGCTGGCAGAATATCATGAGCTTGACGACGCATGAGCATGGTCTGTTTTCCCCAAGCCGTGGGTGACAAACACAGGGCCCAGCCCCTGGGCTTCGAGTTCAAAGGTCCGGGTTGCAACGGAGGTGCTTGGGACAACCCTCCGGACCCTCCATGTGTCAAGAATATGGAAATTTTCAAGTGGGTGGGTTTGGCGTCGGTTTTCTCTTAACATGGACCAACAATAGGGAGGGCGGAGTCTCAGCCCAGATAGGCTCCGGGGTGGTCGGTTCCGCCTGCAGAACCAGTACGGGTGTGGTGCTGTTGTGGATATCACCTGAGCTTATTTTGTGGGGTTTCCTGTGTCAGTTTTCCACCAATTGGTGGTTTGGATTGGTGGATGGGTGGTTCAGGGGCGGTTTCCCATTTACCAAGCTACAAACATCAGGGAAATGTCCGGGCTTCAAATCCCAAAACCACCGATCCAAATCTCCAATTCAGGGTTGCCTGGCTCTGCTTCCCTCTAATTGGTGGTTTGGGTTGGTGGTTTGGTGGTTTGGTGGTTTGGTGGTTTGGTGGGTTGGTGGTTTGGTGGTTTGGTGGTTTGGTGGTTTAGTAGTTTGATGATACAAGAACCGGGGGTTGCCTGACTTTGTGTCTCCAGATCGCCCAAAAACTCGGGACCCGAGGCTTTGCTTCGCCTGGGTTGTGGCAGCCCTTCGCTTCGGCATTGATCTGGCGGGGCTTCGGCGAGAGTTGCAACTGCTGTCAATGTGGGTGGCTCGTCGTTTCTGCGGTACGCATATTTTTTGCATGTGTTTCATGGGAAACCAAAGGCAAGAGCGCACATCTTGTTATTTTCCTCTTTTTCCCCCAACAGCTGAAAGCTTTGGGGTCTCAGCCCAGATAGGCTCCGGGGTGGTCCGGGGCGGCCTTGAGGTTCCACGAGGGTTCCACGAGGGTGCCACGAGCGTTCCACCAGGGTTCCACCAGGGTTCCATGAGAGTTCCACGAGGTTCTGCGAGGGCTGCGGGGTGGTGCGAGCACTAAAAAGAGCACCGCATGCTGTTGGGGATATCACCTGAGCTTATTTTTTTGGGGGGTTGGTGGGGGGGTGGGGAGTGCACCAAGAAAAGGCACAGCCATGTGTAGTTCGTCAATGCCGTCTCTTGGCATCGTTGTCGGACATGGAATAGTTTGGCTGGCAGGTTGCATAGGCCCAACCCAGATGGGTCCCAACCAACATTTGCAGTGGTCGTCCAGCGGTGTTTGGTTCTCACCTAAGACTGAGCAAGTTTGCGCTTCTCGGACCCAAGCCGGCAGGCCTTTTCAGGTGGTCACGCGGCCACCTACTCACAGGCAACCACGCACAGCAACTTGGATTAGAGGTAGTTGGAGCGTAGTAAGGGGCAATCCCAGCCATACATGGGTGCGGAATTCCGCCTTTTGAATTCTTTACACGGTTCTGGGTGGACCATCTTTATACCGGGTTTTGAGTATGACTCCTTTGGAGTCCGCACACTTTCAACGATTCATCAGGACTGAGCAAGACTCGAGAGAATCCGCAGCAAGCCTTGCGATGTTGAGTGTTCAGGCAGTGTCTGCAGACGGTGCTGTTGCTGGTTTGCGTGATAGCCATTGGATAGCAGTTGGTTTGCATGTTCAAACCAATGATACAGTCCTGACCGGGATGGGATAGATGGAGCTTCGCCTTTTTGCTACCTGTTCACTTGGCCCCCCTTTTGTCCATCCAGTTGTAGAGCTCCAAATGCGGGTTCTTCCGCATGCATACAAGGGAAGTCCGTGAACAGCCTATGTCTCATACAAACAAACCGGACAGAGGAACCCGTCTTTGAGTCAGGGGCCCTTCATTTCCACGGCTCAGCCTGCAGCCAGCTGCGCCGTGTTGGGGTTTGTTTGCATGTTATACGCCCAGACCCAAGTTTGTGTCGAGGGTTGAGCTCGCAGTCGCTGGACGCTTGTGGCTCCAAATGATGCCTGGTCCCCAGTCACCTGTCATCATTGGGCTAAACAAAGCCTCCCCTTGCCCTCGGCTGCAAATGGGTTTGCAGCGAACCACCAACCCAGCGGTTTCCCTTTGGCTTGCCATGTTTGCCTTTAAAGTTTCAACAAAGCACACTCAAATCACTGGACAGGAGCAAAGAAGGCCCGCACTTTCAATCAAAGGGTACTCAGATAGATGTTTTTGGGTACTCTTGCGTCAAGAGCGGCCTGCGCTTTTCACGATCCCCCACCCCAAGGTTCCATCAGTAGAAACCTGGGGCTGCTCCTCGTCAAACATGTACGGAGGAGCCACAGGAAGTTTGCAGCTGCTTCTCATGTTGGAACCTGTGGCAACTTATAATGTTGCAGTGGTCGCTTGTGGGCTGCTGCGTCAAACAAGGCATGTCAGACGGTTGTGTTTTCTGTTGTTTCAATCCCCCACCTAAACTAGTTGCAGCAAAACTTGGTTGTGGGTCAAAAGTGGGTATCTATGTTGGAACCCTGTTAAATGGAAACAATGACTAAAACCTGCGGTCCATATGGTGGTTTGATTTTGACCCATACCCACTTGTTGATAGCACTGTTGCTAGTTGCCATGTTGGCTGTCAGTTTGATTCTAGTTTGTATCCAAGGGCTCCTGGTGCCCAGCAGGCGAAGCTGGGGCCTCGCTGCTGAGCTTCATGGAGAGGGGCGAGCATTTGGCCAGCAAGGACCAGTCGGGCAAGCCGCGAAGGGGCTTCATGGGATATACAGCAGCTGAGTATTGATATATATATATATATACATGCATAGCTGCTATACAAAAGGTACACTTCGATGGGGTTCAATGGCTGCAGAAAGGGTACGCAGTGTTCCTTGATTTAGCGAACCTAGATACAACTGTGAAGAGGGTCTGATGCAGGATCCGGGCTGTGGCAAAACGAGTTCTTTCCCAATGCGAGTGTGTGCTTAAGGTCCAAGTGTTCCTTTGAGCTGACTTTGCTGCAATGCAGCTTTACCTTCCCACTCACAGTCAAGCAGGCCCAAGCTTAGGAGGATTTTCGTTGTTGTTCTTTGCATTGGTGGGCCCATTTGTACTTTGATCAAATTGTTCAAAGGAAGCTTAGACCAGCAGGCCCAAAATGGAAAGAATCAGCGCGGGAGGCTTCCGGAGCTGCCCGGGCATACGAAGAAGCACAATATCTTCCGCATGTGAATGTCTTCCGCATGTAAACAGAAAGAGAGAGAGAGAGAGAGGACTCCTCAAAACACCAGGGCCATGGTGTATCATGCCTGCTTCGGTTTTGCCACCTTTCAAGGCAACCATATGGAAGGGCTGTGAGACTTTCCAGCATCTACAGGAGCTTATGTTGATTGGACATTTACACTGCTACTGTATTCTCATCCCAACTTAATCTTGGTTCTCTGGGAGGTACACAAGCCCAACGGTCCACGCTGAAATTGGCAAGAATCCTGCACTACGCTCACGTGCCACCGTTCAACGTTGACCTAGCGAGATACCCGTTCGCCAGCTCCGGGCAGGGCTAAGTCGGTGTATTTGGGAGGTGGGTGTCTTCGCTCGGCGATCATTGTTTCCTGTATGCCGTCAAGCACAGGACTTTTTGACCGTCTCCTGGCCACACGAGAATGTGCTGCGCCGTGCTCAGTGGGATTTGCGTGTGCCATCTGAGACAGCGAAGAGGGTTGCGCGTAACATGCCCAGCACCTATCTTGTAACCCGTGTTGTGACGTGAGCACTCGGCCCTTTCGAGCCCCAGCCGGAGGGGAGACCAATTTTCCAAAAGGAGTTGCTGCGGAGGCAGTGGGCACAGCCCCTTGAATGTTAATGAGCAGTAAATACAAACGCATGTAGCAGGTAAAACAGGAGCATGCTGTTTGGTTCGAGCATTCTTCCATATGACAGCGGCGGGTTATTTCCACCTTAAGGATTAAAGCAAGGCCTGGCACAAGCCGTTACGACAACCTTAGAACCAAAGTCAAAGGGTTTGGGGTCGCTGCTCATGTGCTTTTGCTCGGCATCTGGCAGCTTGGCGCGGATTGCCCGGTTGGCGCAATGTTTCTGGGTTCAAAGTCCTGGCAGATGTTGGCTTGCCTTCACGGATTCAAATTGGCCCCCCTTGAGCCTTTCCGAGGACTCTCAGAACCGCAAGTGGAATGTGTGGAACCGGCTAGTGCAACGACCCTCTCGTGACGAATTCACATGTCGGATGGGCTCGATGGCTTTCGCGAGCTCTGAGGCCCCAAACCTTTGCCTGTGACTCTGCTGGTCAGCGCTTCGTGGTCTCGGCAGCTTGAAAGGCATTGCGTGGATTGATTGATTCTGACCGATCATGCTATTGTATGCTTAATGTGCACTTTGGTGAGAGCACTGAGAAACGCCCATCTCAAGCTGTTGTGAAGGAACCGAAGGATCACTCCCATAAATCAAGATCAAACTTGAGTCACTCGAGTGAGTCATTTTGCCAGGGGTGTACAAGGGGAACGCAGTTATCGGGTGATGTTCAAAGGCATCCTCCATAGGATGCAGATGGGGAGGAGTGCATCACTCGGCCTTTCGGTTCATGCAGGCCTGCTTAGTCTGGAGCATATTTGGAGGTACTGATTCCCTAGACTATGGGCACAGGGGTAAGGCCTGGTGGTGATCACGACGCATCTTCTTCTTGAGTTTTGTTGGAGGGCTGAATTTCCAGCGGTGACCATTCTGAAACACGCTACCTACCTTCCAGAATATGGCGGATGGCTGCCCAGCTTCGTAATCTTTGGATAGCGGCTACTAGGCAGTGATTTTCTGGTCAGTTTGGTATGAAACTGGCTTCACCTCGATGGCACTGATTTCACTGTGGGTTTTCATGGGGGGGCACGGCCCTCGCGGATGGCGACGAAACTGAGGACGGGGTTCAGCTTTTCACTGCGCCGCTGTCGCACGACCGGGTGGACTTCGACGAGGATCCGAGCCAGCCACGATCAGCCCTGGTTTTGGGGAACCCATTTGGAGCTGTGATAAAAATGGTGTCCAAGTCTTACGAGCGCTTGATTTAGTTTTAGCAGATGTTGCTAAAACTATCCGCAAAACCGGGTTGAACCCCAAGCCCAAGTTGCCAATTCCAGTTCCTCTATAGCCGTTCTTTGGGTCCCAACCATGATGTTGGGTAGACGTCTTTGATGATGGCTTATGCGATGCCGGGACACGGACGTGAACATGAAGCTAGCAATATGGCAATATATTTTAATGAGACTGGTTGGTGGACATAAATCCCCACCTAAATGTGCACCAGAGGATCCCACATTAAAGTCCACACTCCACACCCATAAATTTTACGAGCCTATGTTGCAGCCAACTTGCCATGGTTCTTCCGACCAGACAATGAATGTCCGCAAAAACATACATCCTGCCGTAACGGTTTGCCAGATCCATGGGACAAGTTGCCAACAAGATAAACGCAAGTGAGCTGGGACCGTCTTTTGAGTAACCCCCACAAGGGTTGGGGTTGGGTTACTTGGGAACATTATCATTTTTGGGGTGGTTACTTGGGAACATGACGGACACGGATTTTGGGGCTTCCCATTGGAGACATCTATCCGACCCTCTCGCAGACCAGCTGCCTGGCGGGCGAGGGCTTGCAGGATGCGGCTTTGAGGTGCAACGGCACGGCTTGCGAGGCCCTGGCACCTCGGCAGCCCTTCGGGTTCCTTCGGGTAGGACCCTGTGAGGTTCCATGATTGGTGGGAACCCTTGAGATTGATCAAGTCAGGCATTTTGGAATCGCAGGACTTGCAACAGCTTGTGGCTGGAGGACCAAAAAGGCTTTGAGTACCCAGACGATTCCATGGAAGCTCCCAGGACCCCGAAACCCATTGGCAGAGGCCAATTGCGGGAGCTTGCGGCTGTTAGTCCGAGGGAGTGTACCCGTTTGGCCTAGGGATTTGAATGAGTCCCTGAGGTTTTTAGCCTTTCAGGTGCCCCGAAGGTTTGGTAAAGAAGATATGAAATAAGTAGATAAATAAATCATATGTCATAGGGAATGATAAGAAATAAGATTCTGAATGACATTAGGAGCTACAATCATATTGTTTGTGGGTTTAAACTTTTGGCTCTTGAGGGAAAATGGGAATCTGCCCCCTCCTAGCCACCGATTCGGCTCCGAAGCACCAAGAGAAAAGCTGATTGGTTTGGAAGCGAGCATTGAATCAGGCTTTTGCATGGATCCATTGCTTAGGCTTCCTGGGAGACGGACATTTTCCTTCCCTAGGCTTGGCCGAAGAACCTCAGTGGGTGGATTGCGTCCAGTTGCATCACTGGTTTGTGCTGCAGTACTATTGTTTCCAGTGGGATTTTGCGTATACGGGCCCATGCTTAGCTAAAGTTGGTGGGTTCCCAACAAGAGTTCGTGAGGGGTCAACCCCCTTGCTTGACCTTCCCCCCCCTGAAAGATATCTTCGAATCATAGAAGGGGTTCTTAGGGTTCTAAGGAGCCACTCTGGTGGGGGAATCCAATTGACGATCTCTCGTCATCGCCCGGCTTAGGTGCTGCACCAGGTAGGGAGGCGCATGGCTTCGTGCGGTCTGAGTGGCGCGGCATCGCGAGGCGGGCTTGGGGCTTGGGGCTGCAGGTTGCCATATGGCCATACTGAAATTGGCAGGTCGCAGGGCCTGTCGGGCTGGGTCCAGGATTTGGGCGGGCTGGGCTTGTGGACCCATGGCGTTTCATGGAGTTCGACTCCGGCTTCGTGACTCCGGCTTCGTGAGGCCAAGGTTTTACGGAAAACGGCGGTGTGTGTCAGGATCGATCTTCCCGGATCTGTCCAGCCAGACTTCCCATGCGCCAAGACAATGACTCAGCGATGCCACCGTCAAACAGACTCCTAGCTGAGTTGGGGGCCGTGGCCCCTCAAACTTAGGACCCTCCACTTGGTTGGTTTTGGTTTCCCTTCACAGCCATCCAGAAAGGGGTCCCCTATGTTTTGAGACAGAACCCTTTGATTTTCATTTTATGGGCGTGTCTGTTTGTATGGTTTTACAGGGAGCCCAAAAGGAAAACCACCGGTTGGGGCCACATCCAGTGCCGGTTGGGGGCGAACGATGCCAGGCTTCCGCGCCGACATCTCCACCGCCTGGCTCGAGGAGGTCCGCGACCGCGACAGCCTTCGCGAAGGAAACGAAGACGAGCGGCGCAATCCGCACGCCCGAGTCGAGCAGGCAGGGCACGGGCACGCGGGAGCCTTTCAGTCCTTGTCGAGCTTTTGTTGGGGATACAGAGAAATTCTAGTCAGAATATGTTGGCCATGGCACGGGTTCCTTCAAATGCGAGCCAAGACTGGACTGATCACTTTTTGGAGCTGGAAAGGTGTTGTGACCGCTCAAGCGGAAATCTGAGTGGATCCGTCAGTTCCATGATCGAAGCGCCGGCTTGAGTCGGAGAGCTCGGAATCCAATTATTTGGGCACGTTTGCGTTGGTACCCTTTGCAGCTTGGCTCAAGAGGAGGGGGGAACAACGCACTCCCAAAACCGGGGTCCGAATTCCTGTTTTGACACCAAGCCGCCGGATTTGGTAATGAGCCTGCCAGGCGGTGACTGTGACATCAGATGCAAGCTGCTCAGAAGGCACGCGCAGCACGCCCCAATTGTCCAGAGAAAGTTTTCGCTTTGGAGGGTCTTGATTTGGAGGACAAGGGATAGCTCTTAGGACATGTGCATGTTTGTGGGTTTCATGTTAATCTAAATCAGCTCTCACTGTAAATGATCGCACCCGAAATTTGAAGCCGAACTCAAATTCAATAGGGATGCTGTCCCGAACCCTATGCCATATTATGCCGATCCCAAGCAACAAACTAAGGAAGCGAACAGTTCGCCAGACCTTTGAACTTTGAACATATCCACATCTCCCCGTAAAGAAAAAGGAAGTCAATGCTCTTTGACATTCATGTCGGTCTTCATTCCGGAAGATCATTAACCCTGTTTCAAACTACGCTTGTCTTGTAGTTTGTTAAAGGTTAGCTCACAACTCACATGAATGAAAGTAGCACCCCATGTAGACCTTTGAGGCCAGGAAAGGGTACCAGAGACCAGTTGCCGTGTCCGATTTCCGTGGGGGGTATGCTCATCTTCTGGAGATTGATGTGCTTGGGCTACGCCGGAAGACTTGCGAGTGCCTGTGGCAACTGCACGAATCGCGAAAACCAACTGAGTCTTGAGCCAAATGAGTGGATCTGGGTGGAATGAATCAAACCGGAACACAAAACATAAACACCTTAGCACACCTTGGAAGTTGAATAATTTCACCCCTACTCCTGTTCGCCCAGATTTTTCAAGATGCTGAACCCTTGCAGTGACACCCATTTGATCCCGCTCAGCTCGAACAGCAAAGTTTCGCAAGTTGGTGGATGCTGGCAATGTGAGCCTTGCCACCCTGAAGCCCAACCCCGCACCCCCAATGGGAAAACCGCGACAGATGCCTCTCTCAGAGCTACCCTCAAGAAAACTCCCCTGTGGTTCTCCTAGGTTCCCCGAGCCATACCTTTCTCCGGGAGACATCGGATCCCAACCGCCTCGTGTAGCGGTGTCCAAGAATGAACCATTTTGTACAAGTCCTTGTAGTTCCCCTTGCGAAATCGAAAGTAATGTATAAATTAGAAACCCACTTAGGTGGGGGATCTTGCTTACCTCCCAAAGGTTTTGGAGGGGCGGAGGGTTCGAACAGACATGTTCCAGCTTGCACTCATCAAAAGGTGTGTGGGGCCCAATGTGTTGGGTTTCCTGTTGATTTCCTTTTGCACCAAGGTGAGAAGGGCAAACAAACACGAGCGCAAAACCAAACACGACCACAACCAAGCCCAACACACAGAGTGTCATGGTCAAAACACCCTGTTACTTGGGGATTCGGATGGACCCCTTTCGTGAAATTTCAGCCCATGGCATCGGTTTATTCCCCGCCCCTCCCCGGTCGGGCGGTTAGGCGACGCGTGCCTGCTGCTGGGCACCAGTCGCGGACGCCTGGTGCGGCTGAGGGAGACCGCTAGCAAGCGCCTGGCGCCGGTGTGCCTGGGACTCCGAAGAAACAACCTGGTCCCGAGTCCAGATAAAGCAGGTTGGGAAAATGTTGCGCTGTTTTTTTTGTGGTGGATTGTACCGATGTTTGGGTGGATGTCCCCCTGTTGGTTCGTTTTCAGTGCTCTTTTAGTACTCTTTTTATAAATGCGACAGCAGTTGATCCACAAAAGCCGCATGCAAACAGTTTTGTAGACCTAGGAAGGCATTTCATTTATGTCCCTGAAGAATTAGCCCTAATTATGCCCTCCCAGAGTTCCGTTCGCACGCATTTTGGTCAATCCACTCAGGAAGGGAATGGGTGGCTTCGCATGTATGTCCTTTTGAACACAACCCGATGAGTGCCTTCAAGAAACACGCCCTTTTTGCTTTGCTCACTGAGGGTTTATCATCCTGATGGACATGAGAATCTGACTACCTTTTTTTTGCAAAGTCTAGGAATTTCGGCCAATCCACAGAAGCGTTCAGATAAGCCCAGGGCTGAAATTCCCACTCTATAAGACAACTTGTTTTTCCAAAGAAGGCCCAAGTCTTGTCAAGGGGCGTGTATGTTCTCCTGATAGTAGCGAAGCACATGGCTCCGACTCCTTACACCCTGAGCTCACATGCTAGGAGATTGAGATGCACCTAGGGTTGAATAGCTGCAGGGATGTGTTTTATATTTAGATTGTGAGTTGGTTCAAGGGCAGCGTTTGTGCTGATGCGGATTTGCACCGAACTGGAATCGACCTCCCTTCGACACCATGCATCCTGACATGTGAGTTGTGAGGCAACGGCCATGCGCGCACATACATATATGTATGTGTGCTTGCATACATATATATATATATATACACTCTTATTCACCACTGTTGTGAATAAGCCATCTCTTTTGCGGGTTCATGTATTCATGGGGCCGTGGATCAAAAAGAGCCGTAAGTCTATGACATCAGGCCAGCATAATTCTAGGAAAGGGTGCAGGGTTCGAATGTCCGGTGTTCAATGCGATCGAGGCTCGCCAGATGGCCGTGACTGAAAGCCCTGAAGGTGTCTCAAGCAGAAAGGTGTAGGGCCATGGACCCACCCCTAGAGCCAGGGCTTCCATGAGTGCTTTGGACTCAAGCAAAAGCGGGTTTTGATGAAAACCGGAGGTGAGCCTCAGTGGGTTTGGACAGGTTTCGGGATTTGAAGGGAGTTTTAGGGGAAACCATCCGGAACTCCGGAACGGCAATCCAGCCCAAGCGGAGTGATCCGAGGCAGGCTGTGTTGGAAGATCATCAGACGTGGCAGCCAGGCTCGGGGAGACTTCCAGGCGGTTCAAGTGGGGTTTCTAGCGACGGTGTCCTGTAGGGGCCCATCAATTTCCCCCTTTTGCACCTCCAACAGTGGCAGTTTTAGTGGAACCCACCAGCAAGTTGCAACTTTTTGTGGAGAAGTCCAGTGACCCTGTAGTTGGTGGTTGTTGAGTCAGCTTGTTTCTGAGTCGCTTTTGTTTCAAACCGTGTTTGTGTACTGTCAGTAGGCGAATGTGCTTGGCTTGCACACTCTGCTTGCATGCCAGCCACTTTGCTTGCCTGCCTGCCAGCGTGTTTGCTCGCTCGCCTGTGTACGTTACTTGCTTGTGCATCTTGCTTGCTCGTATATTGTTGCTTTTGTATCTGGATGTATCCTCCATGCTTATACACTTGCCTGCTTCTGCTCTTGGTTATTTGTGCTTGTTTTATACCGTGTCACTTTATCTTCTCGCCTCGGCTTAAAGGCAAGCCACCCGTACTGGGTTCCCCCATTTTGACACACACCCATGTTGCCCGGACGGTTGACGAGAGAGGCAGAGCCCGTGACCGGCCCACACTCCGGTGTCTTCTTTTTGAGACTCCGAACATGTCCACACAAAGTAGCGATTTCTCGATAAAACCGGTGGTTCCAAAAGCTGAACAGGGTTTGCCGGTTTGCCTCGCCAGCGCGCAGGCTCCGTGCGCGCGGTGGGCGCGCATGTGGCGGTGCTGGCAAACAACGGCACCAGGCGTTTCGCGGTTCGCTGTTCGCGCTTCTGGCGCCCCACAAGGTGGATTGGTGGCCCGTAAGGGTTCCCCAAATCGATAACCACGGATTTGAGCTGAAACCCAAGAGCGGTCCGTCAAGGGTCACAAAGACATGAACTACACAGCAGCTCGTCTCAAGTAGCTTCTCACTTGATGTTTCGGTTGTTGGATGCTGTGTGCATTGAGCTGTTTTAGCCCCCATGGGTGAAATGCTGATGTTGCGGGATGGGCCGTGCTTCTGCTGGGGACCGCCGCTTCCCTTATGCCAAGCGCCCGAAGCTTTTGTGAACTCTCAAACCCGACAGCTTCAATCCCGCGAAAGTTTGCCATCAGGTTGGTGTTCATTGCTCGGACATGGGCAAGGGGCCTGTTCAAGAGGATACCCTCCTGTCTGGAAAGGTTTGTTTTGGACCCCCCCCCCAAAAAAAAAATAGTGGTTGTCCTTTGTTTTTCGTTTAACACCAACCGAAAAGAGGTGCCCTCAATAGGGGGATAACCGCTTGAGCCACTCTCGGTTCTCATCCCCACCACACAATTGCACGTCCATGATGCACAATGATTGCTGAGAGGATCGGTGAAATGCAAACTAAGTTGGCCTTAGCAAGTATTGCTTTTTCATCAGTTTCCGTTCTCCTCCTCCTATGATCCTCTCCTCTTGTTCCCTTGTTCTCTTCTTTTTTCCTCTTATTTACATAACTTCCTTTCGTCCTCCTCTCCCTTTTAGCTTCTTTTGTTATTTTCCGGTTTTCTTTCTTTTTGCCTCGCATTTCTTTTCCTCTTCGCTTTCCTTGAGAACAACTTGGTGATTGCCGTTCATGTTCTGCCTGCCGCCGGAAAATTGGCAAACACAGCCTTCGTCGGCATGGGTCAGGGAGGCCCAATGTTGGCGGTGTACCTTCCGAGCGTATCCTGACCTACAGTGGTGGGTGGATGTGAATTCGGGACCGACTGGACACCATTTGGAGGTCTCATATTTTGCCACGAGCTCATGACACTGGCTCTCAGCCTTCGAATGGCTCCTCCCACTTGACGAGTTGTCTTGGGGTGAACCCATCGCATTCCGTAGGTCCATCCATCCCTCGGTGCCCAGATTGCTTGTGGGCAAACACCAACTGCAAGCAGGGCTCTTGTGTATAAGGAGTTGCTGGTTTGGGTTCTGTCAACTATATTCCGCAATCGAGTTATGGAACCCTTTTCCATTCTCCCACCTAGGTACGGAGGCATTTCCCCTTTTTGGAGGCATGGTCCTCTCTTGCGGGGCTTTGGAAGGACCAAAAGGAAGCCAATCAAAATTCAACATGGGTCCCCTCAAATCTGACACATGCCCGCCATTTGGTAGCTGACCACTTCCGCTTCCTCGGCGCTCGTGGGGTGACAGCACGCTCGCCAGGCTGTACGTCCATGGCGCGCATGGACAAAGCGCCGGCACGCTCTACCTGGAGACTGCGGCCGCCGGCTTCTGCGCCGGGGGACAACACCTCTACTTCCTGGCATCTTGGTTGAAGGAAAGGGATATGGGCCGATCTTTCGGCCTGGAGATGCTCAAAGATCTGAGATTTCAAAGTTCTCCATGTATGTTTTCTGAGGACCGCTCCGGTTTGAAGGGATTTTCAGGTCGCCCAGCCGTGTAACTGGGGTACAAGACATGTGTCGAAGTGAGCACATGGACTCTATGGGGATGTTTTCAAGAAGGCGAATGCCAGCAATGCAGCAATGCCATATGATTTCTTTCAATCAAGGTTTGCACATCCAGGCATGTTGGCTAATCTCCACTTGGAAGTTCTGGTGGTTGAATCGAAAGAAGTTCGCCCGGGTGGGATCAGTCAAACAAGAAACGGCTATTGGTACTTTAGGGTTGGGGATGCATGACCATCCCGTAATTCTGCAGGTAAGGAGGTTTGACTTCTTGGAGTTGTCAATAGTTGATTGATGCAATGCCCAATCATGACTTGCCATTTTGCAGGGGGTCTAGCTTGACGACATCTTATGCAAGGTAGGCAGAGACCTGTCACAACTTCACAACTTCCTCCCCTTTGAAATAAATTGAGCCAGATGTGACCTTCTACTAGGGGTTGTAGACAACCATGATGTCTGAAAGGATACTTATACACACATGTTTATATGTACATATATATATATATATATCAATATATGTATTACATATATATATATATGTATATACATATATACATATATATATATATGTTAGAATACATTGTCATTGTACAGTCTTGTGAACACCCTTCTCTGCAACGCTTTACATCAAGGCCTTGAGCCTCAGTACATTGAGACATTGCCAGCACAGTGGAAAACAACTGCCGCGCTGTCACATACAGGTTTACACTTCAGGCAAATAGGTTACACTTTCACATTGAGTTTAACATGGTAGCGGAGCAGTAATCCCTGGTACACGATCCACGACCACAACCCAGGGTGAGCTTCAACACGCACCCACAGGTTCAGGTACACAGTAGTGAGCAACATGGCGGCACAACAACAACAGCAACAGCAACAGGAACAGCAGCTGGAAGGAATCCACAAATACAAGATATCGCCACCTCGGTTCACAGGAGACCTTCGAAGAATGGAAGTACAAGATGACAGCATACCTAGGACTGCAAGACCCAGCATACAACAGACTGCTGAGACAGTCAGAGCAATCACAGCTGGCAGTTACAAATGACCAACTTGAGACAGCAGCACCTTCACAAGCAATACCAGAGCAATGGATACAACTGAGCAACAATCTACACTACCTCTTGGTGAGCACATGCGATGGGCCAGCGTCTACAATATGCAGACAAAACATGCAAGGCAACGGCTTTGAAACATGGCGGCTTATACACGCCAGGTGTTCCATACCTCTTGGTAAACTACAACTGGATGAACAGAAGTCCGAAGAGAGCTTCGCAACATGGGAATTCCAACTCTCCAAGTACGAACAGGACAACAACACCCTACTACCAGGTGCAGTCAAGATCGCAATACTGCTCAATGAAACAAAAGGACCACTACAGCAACATCTACAGCTTCAAGCAGGAAACATCACAACATATGCACAGATCAGATCAATGGTGATCGAGTACTACAGAGCAACAGCATCATTCACCACACCACAGGAGTCAGCAGCACCACACACCACCAAAGGTGCAGCTGGACATGGACTTCCACATCCTTCAGAAGTAAATTTTGGAGGAGACTACTGGTACAGAGAAGGCCCATACTGGAAGAGAGTACATGCTCAGCCTCGAACAGCGTTTTACATACCAGAGCAGACACACGACGGGCCAGACATCAAGCGACTCATACCTTGGAGGCAGACCAAGGTACAACCAGTCGGGGAAAGACACAACGCAAGATTGGTAGAAGATGAATGGACAAAACAGCCAGCAAAGACATCAGACAAGCCATGGACAGGCTGGACAAACTTTGAGGAACATCAGGAGTTTCCAACACAACCCGAGTCAGATGATGAGGAGCAACAGCAAGGCACAAAGGCAAAGGCAGCGCAAGCACCCAAGCAACCAACACCACAGGAGATACTCGAGCACAACGTGACACACCTTCCTTACAGGAGTTGGTGTCCAATATGCGTACAAGCCAGAAGCAGACAGAACAATCGCCCAAAGCAGCACAGCAAGCTTCCAATGATACAGCTTGACTTCGGCTACATCAAAGGCTTTGATGACAGTAACGTGCATCCGATTCTCACAGCAATTGACATCCAATCTGGGATGATCATGGCACTACAACTGGCCGACAAGAGAATGCTCTTCGATTATGCAGGTGACACAGCTACAGCACTTCCTTATTGAATGTGGAAGACAACACACACACCATACTACAATCGGATCAGGAAGACTTCCTGACAGCGCTCATCACAGCAGTGGCCAACAAGAATGGCAACATCACCACAAGGAACTCTGGAGCATACGGCTCACAATCACAAGGTGGAGTAGAACGAGCGCACAGGACATTGTTTGCACAAATCAGAACACTAAGGCACAGATCAAGCAGAACTACAACAGAGACGTTTCAATGAAACATCCACTCACGCCTTGGATAGTTCGACGCACCGCATACATCATGAACAGGTGTGCAGTTCACAGCAATGGATGCACAAGCTACTTCAACAGATGGAACAGAGAGCGACACACACCAATTTGCGAGTTTGGTGAGACACTGCATTACATGCTACCAACAGTAAAACAATTTCCAAAACCCGAGCCTAGATTCTACAACGGGATCTGGCTTGGCAAAGATACGACTACAGGTGAATCCCTCATTGGGATCTACAACAAGATTGTCAAAGCAAGGACAATCAGAAGGCAGATCATGCCTCACAAATACAATCAGCAACTACTGGACTGTGTGCACACAGGTCCATGAAAGACACCAGCATCAGCACTGCCTACACCGAGTCTCACAACACCATTGACAATGCCAGCTACAAGCAAGGCACCACCATCGCAGAAAGACGCAACAACGAGCACAGCAGCAGAAGGCAAGAGACAGAGCGCAGCACATGCAAGCGATCAGCCAACAAAGCAGAAGAGAACAGCAGAGCCAACATCACCAATGGCTACATCACCAACCCATCAGAAGCGACCAGCACTGCCAGCACCACCGCCTACATCACCCACAAAGAGTGACACAATAGCAGAAGGCAGCGCAGGCAAGCAACAGCGCACCACAGCAGAGAGACAAGCGCTGGAGCGACCTACAGCAGCCGAACAGCCAAAAGGCAAAATGAGAAGAAATGCCATCAAGTTCACAACAAAGGATGGTAAACAAATGGAGACAACATCCAATGAAGACACAGAAGAAACCGACAATGAAAGGATCCTACTATACTAGAGCCAATCACACACGACACAGAAGGCTTGGATCCACAACAAGTGGCACAAGGAATGAAAAAAGACGTACAACAAATGAAAGATCAGTCAGTCTTCACAGAGATTGATGGCAACACAATGACACCAGAACAACAAGCAAACATCATCGAGCCAAGATTGGATTCTCAAACAGAAACACAACGAAGTACGAGCACGCATAGTAGCAAAAGGCTACACAGAACCCGTTATAGACCATGACCTACTTTTCGCAAGTACACCATTGTTCTGCATACTGAGAATACTTCTCACACTGGCATTGGTGTGCAATTGGTCAGTCTGCACAGGAGATGTGAGTGTTGCATTCCTACATGCAGCAGCAATCTCTTACAACTTGGTAATGCGACCACCACACGAGTTCTACAATGAAGAAAACAGACACATAATGCGGCGGCTGAACAAAGACGTTTATGGCCTACGACCATCGCCAAAACAATGGCAAGACCACATAGCGCACATTCTCACAGTCACACTTGAAGTTGTGAGGTGCACAACAGAAAATAAAGTGTCTACAGATTAAAAGACTGCCAAGTCTACATCATGATCTATGTAGACGACCTCCTCTTCATAGGAGTGCAGAGCATCATCAACAGTCCTGCTGAGACACACAGGCGGCCAAACAGTGGGATCAACAATGCATTTCCTTGGTAGGAACATCTCACACAAAGGCGACTACATTGACATCAGCTTGAACAACAACTATGTCGACATCATCCTGGAGGAGTCAGGAATGACTACATGCAACCCAGCACCATCACCAGGAGTGTCACACATGAAAGGTACAGCAGAAGATGAAGCACCACTAGACCACGAACAGCACAAGCAATACAGGCGGCTTGTTGGCAAGATACAACGGCTAGCATACACACGACCAGATATCAGCTATGGAGCAAAAGATCTAGCAAGATCACTACAAGCACCAACACGACTTGACAACAAGAAGCTCAAACACATGACCAGATACCTTAAAGGAACAAGGTATATGGGACACAACCTGCGACCAAAGATACAAACACAGGACAAGCGAATTCCACTCAACATTGACACATACACAGATGCCAACTGGGCATCATGCGAGACAACAAGGAAAAGCGCGACAGGATTTGTACTGTACTTCTTTGGAGCAGCAGTACACTATGGCAGCAGAACACATGCAACAATAGCACTTTCATCGGCAGAATCACAACTGTACGCAATTGGTACAGCAGCGCAGGAGACCTCTACATCAGCAACTTCATCAAGGAAGCATTTGAAGTACGCACCAACATCAGGATACACACAGACAGCAGCGCAGCAAAATCAATAACAATGAGAGAAGGTACATCAAAGAAAGCAAAGCACATCGAGCTGCCACACTTCTTCATACAACAACTTGCCAAGAGCAAAGTCATTACAATGCACAAGGTAAAGTCAGAAGACAATCCAGCCGACCTTCTTACCAAGTTTGTTGGCTGCGACACACTCAACGTACAACGTTGGCCTGTGAGGCCACACCGCAACAGTTTCACACCAGTGAGTACAGTAGTCAGCACAGGTTGTTAAACAACAGGTGCACAGTTCACACATGTTTGTCTTACTACATAACAGCCGGCATAGTTACAATCTTTTAGGGTAGATACATTGCCATGGATCGACCCTCTTGCGCTTTACAACCCTCTACATTTGGGACATTTTCTGCATGACAGTCTGTACATGTTTCAGAAATGTTTTGACACATGCAGCAGCCATCTACATTTGGTTTGTCCAGTTTGCTTTTAGGCCAACATCCTACAATGGATCATCGCGCCTACAAGACCCTGCACATGCCTTTGGCAGTGCCAGGTGGGTTTACAGTCGAACAGGTTGGGGACAACCCGACTTCGCAGCCAGGTGAAACACAGAAGATTCCGGGATACTGGGATTCATTGGAATGCTTTACAGCCTCATGGATTGCGTCGGCTACATCAGCTGGCTGATACATGAAGGTCTTGACAGCACACTGGACATGACGACCTTTTACATCCTCAAGGTCAACCTTCAGACGGACGAGCTTTTCCAAAAGTTTTTCCAAAAGCAAGTGACATTGTTCAACAGGGGCCAGGCCACATCAGCGCAGTCCTCCAACTACTACACACTTGCACATGGACCTTGTCGACCATCGAGAAGGCCTCTGGTACAATCATTAAGGTACAGGGCCACCCTCACGCGCAGCTTTGCAATTTTGCAACACATAGTCATTCCCATCGAGACAGTGCTCAACAATGTGGACCCTCTGGACAGGGTTCATGCGGGCCTCGCCATGGCTCTACATCACTACAGCTACGCAGCGATACAATCCATCGCTGAGCCACTCAGGACCAGAGTGATCCAGTACATCGTGGAGCATGGAATTCAGCTCACAGGGAGCAATACAATCCTGGTTGTTGGACAGGTTGGCTGCAGCGCGAAGCTTCAGGAAATCGATGGGCCACCTTCCTTGCTGCATCCTGAACAGTTAGGATGATTCTGTACACGCATGAAGATGTACAATGAGTTGTGCTTTGTACACTAGAGCATAGAGGTGTACAAACCGAGGAGGCGTGTTAGAATACATTGTCATTGTACAGTCTTGTGAACACCCTTCTCTGCAACGCTTTACATCAAGGCCTTGAGCCTCAGTACATTGAGACATTGCTCGCATAGTGGGAAACAACTGCCGCGCTGTCACATACAGGTTTACGCTTCAGGCAAATAGGTTACACTTTCACATTGAGTTTAACAATATACATATTTATATATGCATATCCCACTTCCATCTCGGGTTCGGCGATTTTCAACACGCATCCGAGGATCAAGGGCCCAGCCCCCGCATTTGGCGCCTGCCAGTGCCACAGAGCCTGAGGGAGCTCTGAGCGACTTCCGTTTTGCCCGTGCTTTCTGGGAAGATCCGATCTGGTATTGAAGAAAGGCGAGTCTTGGGAAACATTCTTTGGTTGTTGAAGTATCATCCTTGATATTGGAGATGCGGTAGGGCTGGCAAAGCGTGGCCATGTCTTAGCTGATAGGAATCTCTTCCACGACTTTGATGCCAAGCCATTTTTTCTTTTGACTCGGGCTGGCGATAAACCGAGCAAATCATGCTAGACGTGTGTCATTGTTGGCACTAGAGATCCCGTGGTTGTGTTTGTTTGGTGTCTTCATTGACCTGGGCAATGTCTCACGCTACGTAGCTTGCGCCGACTGGGCTGACAAAACAGGGCTCACGTGCCGATGAGCCGCGGCCAGTGAAACCAAGAGTGGACTCATCGGGCCATCGTCGATCAGAACATAACAAGCGGAGAAGAGTTTTGTCTTGTGAATCGTGTCCTTTCTTTTCTTGCACAAGAGAGGCCACGTTCCAAAGCATTGGAGCACGGACAATCAGAGCATCGTTGTCCGAAGCCCTAAACACATACCTTACTGTTTGCAGTCAAATGGTCCCGAAAAGGGACCTTAAAAGACCCAACCGATTCTGTGTCTGATACAACAAGTCGTGGCACTTTGCCACTGTTTTGGTGGGAAAGCAGCGACACATGCGCAAAGTCACTTCTGCCACACTCATGGGAAGACTGCGGCGAAGAAAATCCAAGCGGTTGGGCAAACATGTGAAGGCAACAGTCTAAGAATGAGAGGTGGGATACCCTGCCCCAGAAGTGTAATGCAAGGATTTTCCCTACCTATCAGGTCCGCCACATGCGCAGTTCGAACATTTCGGACCACTTCAAATACCTGAAGCCATAGAATATATGGACATATTGTGACGGAAATGTCGGTATGTTAGCATGTCCGTCTTTGAATTGAAGGCACCTCATTGCTTTTTGTTTGAACGAATCTAGGGTTAGCTTCCCCATTTCCATGGGTCATTCTTTCCAGGAAACCGCCAACCACCCGGGGCAAGGGCTTGTCAAAAAGAACGATGGTTGCGCATAATGTTTGTACTCAACTGGTTTCTACTACCCAAGAGAATCAATCCCGACCAACCAAATCTAAGTCCAACCAAACCCAATGTTTTTGATTGTAAGAAGAAGCAGCTTGATTTTTGTGTGCAGGGTTCTCCGCTTTCGCACAAACTTGCCAGGCATGGTGGCTTTGGAGGCGGTGTGCAAGCACTTTGGCAACGAGGTGCACCCAGAATCGGAGTGGGTCTACATGGACAAGGAGCGAAAGTGTTTGAGCAATGCAACGCGTTTAGTTGAAAGGAAGCGTCAAACTTGGGGACATGGTAACGAGATGTTTGGGGCCATGCCCTTTTTGGTTTCGGGAAACCGGAGGCAAAACCCCGTGGGAATCAGTGGACCAGAAATATCTCGCTGCATCCCTGGCACACGACTTGGGCGTTTGAAGAGGCCATGGAGCTGGCGAAATTCGAGACCGAAGGGGGTTGGATGAGTGATTTAAGGCCCGGAACAGCTGATTCTCACTTCCTGAGTTGCTGGGCTTTGGTCACTTTTTGGGTTTGGACCATTTTTGGGTGACTCTAGTGGTAAGCGAAAAGTTTGGTTACTTTTTCTGGCCTATCTACTCGATCGGAAGTGAGGAAAAAGGTCCTTTCCGGTGGTTGGGTTGGGTTTCCATTTAACCCAGTAAAAGTGAAACTCGGGATTTGAGGACAGAGCAGGCCATCCCCCAAAGACTTAAAGAGGTTCCCAGGAGCAATGTTCTGTTCGCAAAGACGGATAGACCGTCAATGATATGGAAGCTCAAAAGAGAGGCATCAAAGTTGAGTTCGAGAGAGAGTGTGTCCGAAGCCATTTGCTTCTTGGGGCGATGTAAAACTTGGGGCGCAGAAAGAGCGACATTTGGGTGTCTTTTTGGGAAACGCTATTTGGGTTGGGTTCCGAAGGGAAGCCACCAAACTTTGGGTTCCCTAAGTTTGGAAGACGTGGAGCAGCATACCTTGAGCCGGTAGGCATTGCGATAGGCGTGGGTCTTTCAGATGCTTCATTTTTGCATCCCACCCAAAATGGCTGAAATGACGCCTGGGTAACACAAGCCTCGGAGTCTCCGACGGCTCTTCCAGCCAGACCTCCCTGCTGAATCGGACTGTTGTCTGAATCATTCAAGCAAATCACTATGATGAATTTTCTTTCTCTTTCTCTCTCTCGCTCTCTTGCTGTTTGAGGGCTCTGCCGGCTGACTGCAATTGCTATAATTCCATACTGGATGCAGGGGAACCTCCCAGAAATGGACCTTCACTCTGGGTTTCGCTTGTTTACCCCGAGAATGCGGAAAAAACACCGAGTGCTGCGACTCCATCCGCAGGAGCGCGACTTCTTCATGCATATGCGCCTGTCTGGGGGAAGTCCGGAGGACGCAGCAGCGGCATGATCGATTGTGGATGTGACAATGTCCAAAAACGGGCGCGCAAAGAATATCCCGAGTTGCCCATTTGGGCGCGCAAGTAATTTCTTGCCCTACCTGGCTGACTGTCCCCCAAATTATGGACCTTACTGCAACCACTTTCTGTTGGAGCTGTGCAACCATTCCATGGCCCTTTGGTGGGACACAGATGGAAGCCAACGCAAAGTGTACAGGCAGGAGCGTTTGGAAAGCATGCAGGGGTTCGCTGCATGTTCCCATGTGCGTAGCATCCCAGGACCGAGTTGTCAACACCCATTTCAGCATTTGAATCCAAGTAGCCGTCGATTGAATGCAGGAAGCTGCGCCAACGGCCACTGCAAATGCAGCTCGGCAGGGTGACCGGGGCGGTTCGAGAAACCGTGAACTAGTCGTTGTTTCCAGTGCGTATCGTTGCTTGTGTCACGGGCACTTCAGGGCGGCCATTTGAGCAATGAATGCACTTTCTTTGGTGTCGAGAGTCGACCGCGGTGTTCCACGGTATTGTTGATTTGGTTGTTTGTTCGTTTGATTCGTTTGATTCGCTTGCTTGCTTGCTTGCTTGTTTGCCTGCCTGCCTGCCTGCTTGCTTGCTTGCTTGCTTGCTTGTTTGCTTCTTGGGTCTCAGTTTCGTGCAGAGCACAAGGAGCCCAGACCGTAGATCGCCGCGAGCCAAAGCGAGCATCTCGGCCCGCTGCCAAATCGCGAGTCGCGCACATGGGCTCCAAGGCGTAACCGCTGTCGCGAAGGCTCTGTGTTTGGCGGGTTGAACAGAACGCTCCAAGACTTGCTGCTCAGCAGGGAACCAGTTGGAATGCCTTCTATACGGATTTTTTGTGGTTTCCTAGATTCGTTCTCAACACCCTGAGTCAGCCCTACCTATCGCACCAGCAAGAAAGCAATGTCGTGTTTCTCCAGAATAGCTACGTGACTTGCAGGCCCACTCAAGAGCACTTGCGCCACACTGAAGACATGCTTGCCACATGATAAGCGCAGCGCCACACTGCTTTTGATCCATCCAGATTGTTGCGAGTCAGGGGCCAATCACTAGATGTCCAGATCAAAGGGTCAGCCGTCCGCCTGCTGTGGGCCTGACCGGGAATCTTGTAGGTGAACAGGTAGATACACAGATTTGCTCATGCCTCGAAAGGGATTCCCAGACCACTAAGACGTATCTAGTATTCAAATTCAGCTTAGTGGTGGCGTTCTTGGAACAAACTTGCTCAGCATGCATTTGAGGCAACAAAAAGTGCAGCTTGTTCACTTCAGGCACGTTTCCTCCATCACCGACACCTTCTGTGGAAGAATGTGCGCCTCAACGAGGAGGAGGCGGGGTGGCAGAACTGGCTTCCGTCCTGCGAGCTGTTTGAATTGATCAGGCAGCATGAAAGCTGCAACAAGCAGATTGCAGCTTACACGAAAGGACAACCATGTGTGTAGCATGCTAGAACCCATTTCTTCGAACCCATTTAGATTTAGGCTCACCCAAATTGAATGCGGCAGAATTGCTTAAACTGTCTCCGCAGTTCGCGCTGCATAGGTCTCGGTCAGTCTTGGAGACTGCACTAAGAGCCCTGCGAACTCTAGGCTTCGACTTGCACAGGTCAGTCAGCACGGCGCCTTTTCGGACCATGCGAGTGCACGAAGAGCTCGCATGCAGATGTTGGTTTCAGAATTGAGTTGAAGGGCAAGTCAATCAAACTGAAGATTAGACAAATATCCGTGTGTTTGTGTTTTTGTGTGTGCTGGGTCACACATGTGCTTTGATTTTGGGCTGTGGTGGAATGTGTGAACTTGCATGACTGATTAAGTTAACAACAGGGCCCCTCCTCCGCCCCCGTCAAACAAATTTGGAGGACCCAACGGAGAAAGCCGGTGAAACAATTTGGTATAGGTTTGTATTGGTTTAGTGTTGGTTTGAATTGGTTTAGTATTGCTTTGTGCTGCCTTAGTACTGGCTTAGTATTAGTTCGTATAGGTTTAGTGTTGGTTTGATTTGGTTTAGTATTGCTTTGTGCTGCCTTAGTACTGGCTTAGTATTGGCTAGTATTGGTTGTTGCTGTGTGTTGCCTTAGTACTGGCTTAGTATTGGCTAGTACTTATTTAGTATTGGTTTAGTGTTGGTTTAGCACTGCTTGGTGCTGCCTGAGTAGTGGCTTGTTGCGGGTTTGTATTGGTTTAGTATTGCTTTGTGCTGTCCTAGTACTGCCTGAGTGCTGGTTTGTATTGGTTAATATTGGTTTAGTAGTATGTTGTTTTTGGCCTGGAAAACGGTTTCTCCCTTTCTATTTATTTTTTGCCGTTTGGGGTCCCCTAGGAGATTTGCCGCCTGAGCACTTCTGTATACGGGACATGCAAGGAAATCGGGAGTCCGGGGGGTGGGTGTTGTTTGCAGCGATCTTCTGGGTTGCTCAGTACCCAGAAGCACGGATTAGTGGACACGAAGAGAGACGGGAGCTACGAACCTAGCTGTTGTTTTTTGTCCGGCAATATGCACCCAATGTCATTTTGGGGGTAGACAACAATTGTGGCAATA